AATTGACACCCAGAATTAATCATCTTATATTCACCATTCACCAACTTAGCACCTATCTGCATCTGTTTAACTAGAGCATTTAATCTTCAAATAAAGACAAAAACAAAGTCAGCATTCTACCTGATGTGATACAACTATGTTGTGTACAACCAAAAAAACATACTAATACCTTCCTCAGAGAAGGAGGAAGAGTCCTGAAGAGATGTGTGCTTTCCTCCTGGCTATCCCAAGCTTAAATGCTATGATGTAAATTTATGTAAATATTATGATATAAACTCAACACATATTTAGGTTACATGAGGAAGCAAGAGAAAAAAGAATACAAGGATACTTGCCATATACACATACAAATCCATTACAAATAAAGAGGAAATACTCAGTGAACTTACTCTTTATTTCTGTAACTGTCATTAAAGATGTCATTCATTCATTCAGCATGCTCATTACCTTCAGTATGTAACCCTGCTGGTTGCAGTGGTGACTCATTCATTTCTGAATAGTTGGGTCATTAATAATTCTGCCTGGTTGTGTTGTAGTTTACCACTGTCTTTATCACAAGACACGTAATGTTTAGAGATACCCTGAAAGATCTTCTGTGCTTTAAACATAGTCTTCCTTCTCTCTCCTAGAGTACTAGTCTTGTTTCCCCCCCAATAATATGGATTAGTTGTCATAACCAGCACTGAAGCTCTTTTGCATTTGGATTTAGAGCTATGTCCATTGGCAGTCTTACCTTACAGTTCAGTTGAATCATCGTTGTATCTCCTAGCAGAAGTGTTTCTCCCTCTGTAACTAAGATCTCTAGGCCAGCAGAGCAATAAATTCCTGTGGCAATAGGAAATACAGATGTTTCTCACGGGTCACTGGGCATCATAGTAAACGACCCCAGTTCCTTTTCTACCTGTTGATCACTACACACAAGAATCCTGCCCATAAGAGGAGTATCTTTATAGGGGGAATGCTCTTCAGAGCTTATATGAACCTCACGAGAAGCTTTTTCCAGATTTACAAGTTATCACCACCTTTCTGGCACTCTGAGTACTTAAAAGATTGTTGCATCATTGGCTAGGAGCCAGGTGTTTCAAGATGGTGGGGAACATGGTGACACCAGTGAATGTCATGAAACAGGGCTCCCTGGTTCTTTTGATGTGAAGTGAGTTGCTGGATCAGAAACACTGCTGTGTGGTAGACAAATGGTAGATAAAGCATTCTGTAAGTCCACGGACGGGTGGTAGTTATGGCACAATCATGGCATACAGAGAAGGCAAGTCTATATTCAGAATCTCTGTTCTAGTAAGAACAAAATGTTACCATTTCATGGTGGAAGAGTACCAATGTAATCAACCTACCACCATATAACTTCCTGGCTCAAAAATGGTGCCAAATTTGGGATTTCTTGTCAGTCTCTTTCTTCAGTATATAACACACTTAGCAGTGGACTGGAGAGCTTGGCAAGTTGAATCCAGGTTGCCAACTCCATGAAACATTTTCATCCCTACCACTATGACCATTTCATTTATGGGTGCACTATTAAAGCAATGATAGAGGTAGCTGGAAAAGGCACTGAATGGTGTCTCCAGAATAGGTCATTCTATATACTTCCTAATTAAAATCATTCTCTGCTGAGCTCACCCTTTGATAAGCATTCACATGGGACACAAATATCTTTACATTGTTATTCCAATGCAGGACCTGTAGCCATATATCTCTCCTGCAGATTTCTATATCAGTAATTTTTTCAGCTGTGTTCTTTCCAAGTCCCTAACTGTGCAGACAAACCATTGACTATAGCCTGTAAATCAGTATATAAACACATCTGGTCATTTCTCTATCCAAGAAAAGTAGACTCACAGGTGCTTTGCTTGACACTCTGCCCACTGGGAGAACTTCCCAAACCACTGTTCTCCAGGAATGTCCCAGAATAGAGACATAGTGTGCAGCTGTCCATTTTCAGGTGGACCCTGCACATGGTCCAGAGCCATCTGTAAATCAGGCCTGGATCATCTCTTCTTCTGTCACCAATCAAAGGGAATTGGGGAAGTTAGCTATAATGTGCACAATGCCTTGGGTTTAGTCTTCAACTTAAAAAAGAAATCATGGCAAACTGTCCAGGAAGCTATAGGTGCAGGCAGAGACAAAGAAGAAAGAGTATCAGAAATGGAATTTGTGGTCATTGGGAGCACTTCATGTAATTTCTTGTGTGATCAGGGTCTGCTCAATCCTGGACATGTATATGTCACTTGCATTTGACGATAACACATTCAACTTTATGGCTTTGAGGGTCTGATAACACCCAGTTCATGATGGACAAATCAGAGAATATATCACTATTGTGGCCCATGGTTGAGTATTTGATCCCTACTAAGACCTAATAGTAGGTCAAGGACCATTTCACAGAAAGAGTATGATGACAAGGGTTTGCTCTAAAATCCTAGGAACCTATACTGCAGGAACATGACAAAAAAGTTCAACTTGTTGTATGTTATGTTTGATAAATGTGACAGCTTGAGACGTTTAGAAGTTTAAGTGATTCAGTAAGTAGCTAGGGTTCTTACTTTGTAAACATCCTCATCCTGTGTAAGAGGAGGGCAAGGAGATTTTGTGAGTGCTGCACTTGCTGGGGGTTGAAGGTTGTCTGTGTACAATATAAGGGAGGAAAAGAGATTTCTTCTTTCTCCTTTTGCTTTGCTTTGAATAGTCATTTTTATGTCACTGTCTTCTGCCAACTTGAACTGTTGCCCATGTACCATGCCACCCTGCCTTGAAGCCAACTGATTATGGACTGAAACCTTCGCAAACTGTGAGCTAAATAAACCTTTCCTCTTTCATTTCAAGTTTTGGGATTTTGTCCCAGCAACAGGAGAAAAGTAATCAGGAAAATATAATTATTAATTCCTTATGCCATTATGTCACACTCTATTGACACACAGGTCACCCAGCTTTTCAGTCTGTGAAAACTGGAAAACTCAAGCATTTCTTTTGATACATAACACTCATCTATGGACCACAGTTTGAATCATGTGTTTGTGAATCTCCTGGGACTTGATTCCATTTATAGTTCCCGAAGCAAAGAGTACTGGGTAGAATAGGAAGAAAATCAGTTATGTCTTGCATGACACCTGCCTTAGGTGAAGTCCTTTCCATTTCCACAGATGGTGTAAGATTAATTCTTTCAGACAGGGGTACAAAGCCAATAGAAAGGCCACTTCCACTGGCAAAGGAGAATCATCAGAATTTAGGAACTCCATGTTCCTACTTTCACCAGATCTCCCCATAAGTTCTCATCCCAAATTTTGAGATCGCAGTCTTTTCTCTGAAGATACGCTCACTGTAACAGCAGACACCTGGTGAGATTGGTGTAAATGTAATTCTACCAGTGACAGGGTGAGATGATGCATATGATCTTAAGCATTCTCAGCTCTGCATGGCACTCATGGAAATATTTAGGTATATATTTAGCCATTCAGCCACACAGCATCCTCACAGACAGTCCTGGAGACAATGTTTAATGAGACGTCGGGCCATCCCATAATTCAGTCACACTGACACACAAAATTAACCTTTGCACCTGCCTAAATCCATGTACCTGTCAAATTTAACAGCCCAGATTTGCAATCAGAAAGCCCATTTCCAGAAATATGAATTCAACACTAAGTTAAAGCATAAAGAGATTAAAGGTATGGTACACACAAGGTCCACAGTAGACAAACACAGAACAAAAATCCTCTTTGTCAAAAAAAATCCATGCTTTTAAATAGTCATTTTTATTCACTGAAAATTATGCTATTGATGGATTTCAACTGAATAAAAGTGATATACATATGTACTATATATATAGTATATATATATATATATATATATATATATATATATTGCTTTCCAATATCCTTTCTTGAATCCCAAAGAAAGATATAAAACTAAAGTTAATGAAGGTGCAGATAATGTATTTCAGAACATAGAGATATTTGTTGAAAATTAGATTTAATAAAGTGTAGAAAACAAAATAAGCCATCAATTGCCCAATTATGGACTTTGTCATTCTTTATAAATGTAAATTCCATGAGCATTTCTCATGTTGTCAAACTAGGTATTCAGAGATTTAGGGTCATTTACTCTCCACTGGGCAAAGATTATAAAGGTAGGATCTACTACTTTCAAAGATCACAGTTTTCAATGTTTTGAGGAAGTGGACTCATTCTTCAAATGCTATATGAAGAAATGGAAGTAACAGTGATAGAGCTGAGGGAAAGATGGAAAAGGAAGGTGGGGAAACAGGGAAGATGGAAGGAGGTCCAGAGAGCCCCCCACCTGCCTCACTCGACAGACAGCAACTTGAGCAAATTTGGAACGTCATAGAAAACAATTTGAAAGAGGTGTTCCCATTTCTTTTAAAGTAATTTAGATGAGAAAGTTATTGTAGATATTTGAAAATATTAGGTATAAGAGTATTAAAGTGGTAGGTAAGAAAATTATTGTAGATATTTTAAAATGTTATATTAAAGTTGTGGATCTAAAAACTTTTCATAAAATTGCATTAAGATGTGATATTATATGATGTTAGCACAGATATCACTGAATGTTACACATCACAGATGTGTTAAACATATTTTTTTTTTTTGGTTTTCAAGTGCTGTATTGTCTCCTTAGATATTTAATTCCAGCTTCTGCTTGAAGATAATAGTCACTTTTTGACCATAGCCGTGAAGCATGCAAATTTACACTTTACTGTAAAAAATTAAAGTACATTATATTTAATGGACTTTTAAACATACCTCTCTGACGTGACACTTAATTTAAATGAACAAGTTTTGTCTCTTGAATTGCAGGTAAGATTATTTTTGAGCAGTGATGTACTTCTTTTGCTTTTTCTCTTATTTTCTGATAAAAGAAATGACTATAATAAATCCTTATCCTGCCTTTGGTCTGGATATTTAGTAGCTATGTATTTGGGTTTTTTGATAGCAACACACATTAATATTTATAACCATTTTCCTTTGTAGCATCTCCCAGATGGCTCTGCGCCCAGTGCACATGTTGAATTTTATCTTTTACCATATCCCAGTGAAGTTCATAGGAGGAAAACAAAATCTGTTCCAAAATGTACTGACCCCACTTACAATGAAATTGTAAGTATGATTCATCTCCTGTCCGGTCATTCTGTATTTTCCTTACCATTTTTTAGCTTAACAACTGAATATGGAAAATTTGCAGTAATAGACAGCATTAGTCCATAAAGGAAGTATATTTCCCAAAATAGTCTCGGGATGCTGATCACTGTCCCAGATGCTGAGGAACTAAGAACTACTGCTTTCAAAACTCTCGTGGACCAGTTTTCAAGTTGTGCTGAACCTTCTGCAAAAGCCAGACTTGTTCTGCATACTAACTTGGTCTCCAGCTTTATCTTGTATTCTCTAACCTTCATTTCCTTTACTTGAGTTTCCTTATCTAGTAATTTTATCCTAAACTACCCGATATATAACAGTAAATCTCACAAAATCACTTTTGAAACTGAAAACACAAGTGAAATGCAAATGTCAGTTAATGTATGCTATAAATAGTTCTGTCATTCATTTGTAGCATGTAGTTGGAATGTACCCTCCTGACTTCTGAGGCAAACCCCTCCATTTATTCTCTTAAGTTCACCCTTTTCTGTATTTTCTTTACTTTCCACAGTTGATTACTCACTCTTTCTTCCAGCGGTCTCACTGAAAGCATACTCAGATGTTTCAATCAGCAGTCTTTAAAACACAAAACTGTCTTTACCTTAGGATTTCTACAGAATTTTCTTTTCCCTCCCAATTACCCCCCAAGTTTTGCAAAATTGTCATTTCTTCCTTTCACCTCGTTACTTCCCATTTAGCCTTGAATCCTTTGCAAATGTGGATTCTGACATTTATTTTTAGTGCTCTATTCTAGTGGCATCAATACAGTCCTAATTACTAAACTCAATAAGCCTCCAGGCTGTCCTCACCTAACCAGGGCACAGCAGCACAATTGATCTACCCGCTGCATGTTATTCTTGAATATTCTCTCTCTCTCTCTCTCTCTCTCTCTCTCTCTCTCTCTCTCTCTCTCTCTCTCTCTCTGTCTCTCTCCCCCCCCACTGGGTTCCAAAATCCATTCCCTCCTCCTCTTCATGCACAGTAGGGCTTTCTCTAGCTACACATTCTGCACACCAGGATTAAACCACCTACAAATCAAAAAATAGGGAAAAAATTTGTGCCTTTACTAGTATAGACTTTTCTCTATCACTATTCCCTAAACAATGTATTGCAGTAACTATTTACACAGAAATCACACTGTACTAGGTATTATAAGTAGTCTGGAGATGATTTAACACATACAGGAGGATATGCATAAGTAGTATGCAAATATTGTGTATTTTATATAAAAAGCTTGAGCATCCTTGGATGCGGACATCCTTGTGGAAACCTGGGTACCAATGGACAGCTCTCAATGCTCTCACAATTATCTAGTGTTTTTATAAATTTTATCATCTCTATGTAAGTTATATCTGAATTAAGTCCTCAAGCCCTGGCTTCCATCTCGAGCTTTTGATCTGTACATCTTTCTGATACCTGGAGAGCTTCGTTTAATGTCTCCTAAGCACTTTAAGGCCAAACTTTCCTCTTCTCTTTGGCACATCAAAGGTATCTCCCAATGATGGAGAGCTTGTATAGATTTCTCAATTTCTCTTTCTGCAGTTTCAGTTAGTTATGGTCTAAAATTATTAAGTGGAAGATTCCCAATAAAAGCAATTCATGTGCTCTAAATTCCATGCCATTCTGGAATGAATGTGTGATGAAATCTCACAGCATCACACTCCGCTCACATGACTCAGGAACCATCCCTGTGTCCAGGACAGCCGTGCTCAGTGAATTTACCTGCCCATCATCACTTAGTAGACTTCTTGATTATCTTTGATTCTGTCACTGTACCAAAGTGCTCAGGAAATCTTTATTTTAATTAATAATGGCTTCTAAAGCAAACATATAATGATGCCATTTGGATATGCCAAAAGAAATGCTATAAAGTGTTACTGTTAACTGTCCTATATTATCACAAGGGAGAGAGAGACACACACAGAGAGAGACAGACAGAGAGAGAGAGAGAGAATTCACTATTCACATAAGTTTTGGTATAATATAATGTTATGTGCTCTATTTTATAAGTGTTAACTATTGTTACTCTATTATCACACCTAATGTATAAATTAAACTTTAGCATAAGGATGTGTGATCAGGGAAAAATGTAGGATTCACTACAATCTGTGGTTTCAGCCTCCATGGAAGGTCCTGGAAAGTGTCTCCACAGCATAGAGGGAAACTACTATACCATAGTCCGCGTATGAAGGATCCATCCTCTTAGCCTTCTTTCCACTGCTCATGCTACATTTTATCTTAGTCCTCTTGATAAGTGCAGTGCAGTATCTCCTTGTGGTTTTAATTAAAATGTACCTAATGACTAATGATGTAGAACTTCCATTCATGGGCTTAGATTTTCTTTAGGAATATATAATTTTTCTTTTCTGTACATTTTCTTTGAGAAAATATTACCATGTCTATAATCATTTTCTAACTAAAATATTTGCATTTTTACTCCTGACGTTTGAGAGTTTTTTTTCTTCTTGTTGTTGTTGTTTTTTGTTTTTGTTTTTTGTACTAGGGATCAAACTCACAACCTTGTGCTTGCAGGTAAGCTCTTGAGCCACTGAGCTAATGCTAGGTCTTTGTGAGCTATGTGGTCTACAAATATTTTCTCTCCACCTAGAGTTTGCCTTCTTATCCTCTTCATAGGCTTTTTTTTTTAAAGTGAAAGATTTTAACTGTCATGAAGTCTGGCCTACCATTTTTTCTTTTATGCTGTCAAATCTAAAAATTCTGCTAGGCACCAAGACCTAAGGACTTTTATTTATATTTTTCATTGTAAATTTTATAGCTTTCCATTTTCTATATAATCATATTATCTACTTTTAATTTTTTAATAAAGTATGAGATTTAATTCAAGGGTCCTGCCCTTCCCCTCCAACTCCATACAAAGGCAATCACTTTGGCACTATTCATTAAAAAACACATCCTCTTCTTGGATCAAATTTCTTTGGCACCTTTGCCAAAAGCCACACAGGAACATTTGTGTGTCCACACTCTTTTGCCGCCCATAATTGCTCATTTCTTGAATCACATTGGGCAGCTCATCAGTCCCTGCAAGCTGACTGTGTGGCCTCAGTGCTGGGCTTCACGGGTGCCCTTGCCACGCCTCCCATCTCTGCCTCCTTGAATCCTACCTTGCACTGGGCTCTGTGAATAGTCTCACTGCCCCAGCTCTTACCTCACATTTATAAACTTTATTTTGGTTTGTGAACAATTTTTCTCCTAGTGTATTATACACTTCTTGAGGAAGGGAAAAATGTCTCTTTTTTTCTAGTGTCTTTAACACTTAGCTACTTCTCAAAGGGTGTGAATAAATATTTTCAGCAGTTTCGTCAGTAACACTGTGTGTATAAAATGTAACTGCATATAAAATGTAAATACATTTATATATACAGACACATACTCTAAATTAATGGGCACAATATTTTGAAATTTTGTCATATTTTATAATGTCAATAGTTAGAGATATTCACTTTCCAACAGTATATTACTTACTGCTTTCTGTGCTCTTTGAATATGAGACTTGATATCCTATTGTCAAGAAACTTTTCTGATTCATACTATATGTAGTATTTGAAATCTAAGAAAGCACATAATAAAAAAGCCAGTAGACACTTGGGATGATTTAACTAAACTTACATTCAACTTACTTCAACTTTTTTGTGTACTATGAAAGCAGTAATAAGGAGTAGCTATTCTATTTGCAGACAATGCAAACTTTAAGACAAAATTCATCAAAAGAGATAAAGATCTCTAAACATTTATTAAGAGAAAATTCCAAGAAGATGTAACAATCAAAAATATTTGTGCACCAAATGTAGGTTCATTGAACTGCATAAAACAAACATTAACATACAGGAAAAACCAAATGATCACTAATACAATTGAAGTGGCTACCTTAATACCCTACTCTCACAAATAGATAGATCAACTAGACAAAATATCGACAAAAAATACTAGAATTAAACCAAGCCTGTGACCAAATGGACTTGGTAGATGTCTACAGAGCTTTCCACCCTAAAACATCAGAATATACATTCTTCTTAGCTGCACGTGGAACATTCTGCAAAATAGACCATATATTAGCTGACAAAACACATATAAGTAAAGGTAGAGAAATTGAAATTATCCCATACTATCTGCTCATACAACAATGAAACTGGAAAACAACAAAAAATAAATCACAAAAGCTACATTAACACACAGATTTTAAACACCTTTCTGACAACCAATGAGTCACAGAAAAAATTAAAGATGAGCTTAAACAGTATATAAGATTAAACAATAATACTGATACAATATACCAAAATTCATGGGATGAAATGAAAGTAGTCCTATGAGGGAAATTTATAACTGTGAGCTCACACATCAGAAAAACAGAATGAACTCAAATAAATAACCTAATATGAACCTCAAACTTCTAGAAAGAAGAAGAAAAAATCAAACCCAAAACTGGTTTGAGGGAAGAAATTATAAACGGCAGAAATTAATTCAAGAAACTAAAAAACAATACAAAGAATCATTGAATCAGATAGTTGGCTCTTTGAAATAATAAATAAAATAGATAAATCATTAGTTAACGTAACAAAAATAGAGGTAATAAAACACGCAATTTCAAGCAATTAGGAGTGCAAAAGGGGAAATCACAACAGATCTCACAGAAATACAGAAGATCATCAATACTTACTATGAGGACCTATATTCTAATAAGATAGAAAACAGAGAAAATGGACAGATTTCAGGACACAATAGAACTGTCAAAACTAACTCAAGAAGTTATGTCAATTCTAAATAATCCAATCTCAAACAATGGAACTGAAAATGTAATCTAAAACTTACCAACAAAAAAAAATTACAGATCTTCACAGATACACTGTTAAATTCTACAATAAAATTTGAAAATAACTAATACAACTAATGCTTAAACTTTTTAAAGAAATTGAGAGAGAAGCAGTATTTCCAAAATAATTCCTGAA